CTAGAGGAAAGCTACCTTGAATCATGCCTTCTGAAGGTGGCTGTGCACCAGTGGCCAGTGTCCACTGTAAACTCAGGGATATATGCTTATTCAGCTGAAAACTTCACACATCACTGTTTCATGAAGGCAAGAGAGGATTATGGAGAAAACCTTGGGAACCACTTTTACAGCAGCTTCACTATGTGGATGGTGTGTTTAATCACTTAAAAATAAATCAGGTACAGATGTGACCGCATATAGGCCCCCCAACCACAACTCAGGCCATGGAAGCCTTCCAGCATGTTGTCACCTTAAGGCAATTATTTTTAACAAAACAAAGCTCCAGTTAGACAAAAAATATATTTGAAGTATAAAATCCTGTAGCTTCGATAATTCTTTATTAAATACTTAAGTTGCATCATTTCATTACAACATTTTGTCTCATTGAGCTTTTGCTGTCCAGAAAACAAACTACAGTTTCTTTCACTGCTCCTCGGAAAGTAAGTGGAAAAAAAAGTTTTTGTCCATAAACAAATCCTTTCCCCACAGTGTATCAAATCAAACCACAGTTTAAAGCTGTATTAATTGTGAAAATGAGGGTTACTTATATGTAGTACTTCTAAAATAAATTTTAAGGTAGTTTAGCATAATTTTGAATAGCCTTCTAGTATGAGGTGATTTTACAAAAAAATTCACACTGTTTAATATTTTTAATCTGGAATGTTTGACACTTTTGTATGTTTGGAAATATCTCAGTTTTGAATTTGATTTAAAATTCATGTTTACAAACACAGAACATAGCAACATCACCTTCTGGAGTTTTCCATTTGGGTTTTGAGAATTGTAACCTCTTTGCTACTGCAGGGGCTGTGAGAGATCCTCAGTAGAGACGGGCATCTCACCAGCCTCCTTTAAATCCAACACAATGGATTACAGTGTAAAAATGCAACACGTGCAACCGTATGTGCATGCATACTGTGTATATTTTTACAGCTACGTATTTAAAAAAATTAAGATGTGAAAATAATACATAAAAGGAAAAACTCCAACATGTAAGGGGAGGATAAACGTGGACAAACAGGTCGTTAGGTGTGTGCATCGATTGACATATGAGTAATACAGTTTGCACGGATGGTGATGGTATCCAAGGGGGCTCTAGGTACGCCGACAGGCCCGGTGGGTATGGAACATTAATATGGTTAAATTCCAGTTTTATAGGTTTCCCATGCATTTCAAATACGCATCACTTCTAGTGCAACATCATAATAGATGGGTGAAGACTGTGGTGTTTTTTTATTGTCATTTTATATACAAAAGGAAAAGATTTTTATTAAAAAGATCTACATCTTAAGATGTCCAATCTGGTAATCTACCTTTTTTCTACTGTATGTACTGATAACTGGCCCTTGCAATCACATGGGTATGATCACTTATTTTTATCTGAAAAGTGCAGTCTTAACTATGCAGCTTCCCCTCCCTGGTTCCCTTGTTTTCACAACCCCCCTGGCCCCTCAGTGTCATGTAAAATGCTTCGTCTGAAGCACTGGGGAAGGGTTACCACTGAACACTGCAGTTAGTACGTACAGCATCCTCCTCTGCTAGCTTATCATCAGCGCAGGCGTTGCGCCAGCATGGTGCTCCCACTCCCTGCACTCAGCATTCACCGGGGAGAGGTCAGCATGAGACATGAAAATAAGAGCAATCTTGTGGTAACAGGGTTTTTTCTCATTTACTTGGCCTCATCTAGTTTATTGTAACACTGAAAATAGTTTCCTGGGTTTTGTCATAGCATAGGAGATCTCAACTGTTTGGCTGATGAGGGGCCTATCTGCCCAAGGGTTTAGCCATCATAAAATCTGAGTTGCATGGGTATAGTATATTTTAGCAGGGGTTTATGTCCCTGTAACTACAGGGGTGCCAAGCCTGCCTGCAACAGCCCGATGGCTCTAGCTAACAGGAAGGCCCCGATACCTGTCATAAAAGCTTTATGTGGCAGAGGGATGGGGCTGAGCGATTCCCCTCAGTGTATCCCAGCAGTGGTTTTGCTCACTTGTGAGCTCTGGATTACTTGCGGGCCCCAACAAAGAAAAGGACTGTTTTGCTTCTGTGGCGAAGGGAGCTGTAGCATGTCTGTAAAAGCAAAACACTGTGCTGTGTCGTGACAGCACAGCTAGCGCGGTAAGGAAGGAAGTGATGACCTGGCTTACTGCAAGCTGGGTTCCCTGGGCTGTGGAGGACTGTCTGCACGGGCGAGAGCTAACTTGGGTGGCTGGGCACGGTACTGCGTTGGTTCTAGTGCTGGCAGGCTCACGCTGCAGGTGGGAGCTCTGGTTGCAGTGTCTAGGGACAAGAAGCACAAACAGCATTTATTCAGCTATTTGCATTAATGGCAAGAAAGCTGTGACAGCACAGATTTCAGCCGTGCAAGTCTATCCGGGCACTGCATGGTGGGCTTGTGGTCAATGCTGCCTGAGTGCTGTCAGGTCTTGTCAGCTGCCATGCTAATGGCATACATAGAGGGAGTCAAGGGCTTTCTTTTGGTATCAAGCCGTTTCCTAAAGATGAAAACCCCTTCTCTAAAACTAACCACAACAGTCCAAATGCATGTTAATGACAATTCCTATGCTGGAATTCACCTTGCTGTTTTAATACCTAGTGAATGCCTTTGGAGTGTCTGTCAGTTTGAGACGTTAAGTGGATCTGAAAAGATATTAAGCTAAGTAATTTTAAATTTTCTTAAAAAAAAAAAAAACCAAACCCAAAAATCTAGACAACACCACTTTCCCCTCCAGTCAGATGTCATGGTAGAATTCTAGATGGCTGAAAGGGCTTTGATGCAGGTGTTAGTAAATCTGTTTCAGAAGATGAGGGAGGGAAGGGACCAAAACCAGATCACAACTAGAGGAACACCAGCTGAGCTCTGGTTCTAGGTCAGCTGCACTCCTGCTAGGTCACAGCCCTCATCTGTAGATCAGTTTCAGTTTCTCATGTCTTGGGAGTTTTTAAGGTTCTGATACATGGCATTGGAGCCTCCAGCCACACAAAAAATCCTCCAGGTTAAGATGGAAAGAGAGCAGACTTTGGAGTATGACCCTTCCCTCAAGGGAGCCCATGCTGTAACCAGCTGTGCTTAACATGCAGCTGGTCAGTGGAAATACCTGCATTTACCTCATTCTCTCCACCTTTCCCACAGCTCAGTGACCAGTATTGTGTTTCCTCATCTACTTGGATGCAGTCTACTTTCTCATGTTCAAGCTTGCTCATCAAATGTCAAAAGTCAGAAAAGGATGTCTGGAAACATATTTAATAGACAATGAATCTTGACCTATGTTCAAATACTAAAACAACCAACCTTCTTTATACATGTACTAGCTCCTGAAATGTTTTGCTAGCATGCAACCATTTGCTGAGCGTTAGGAGCGTTAAGGTGTCTCTCCAGCTGCTGTGTTCCTAGGCTGAAGTTCCTGGAGTGTGGCTGTGGGGTGCCTGGGGGGCAGGGCTGGGCTCAAGAAGCTGTTGGCACAGAGGTGAAATGTTGTTTCGGCATGAGGCACCATCTTGCTTGGTAAGTGTTAAATGGGTTCTTGGGGAAAAAGCCTAGCTGTAGTGGGCACAGCTTACAAAATGGAGGGTTAAACTGCTGAAGCCATACCCTCAAACCTACCCTAGCGGTACTGTAACCATGGAACCTCAGTGGATCAAATACAAATCTTTCACTTTTAATCAGTCACAAGAGAGATGCAACTCCGACATTATAGTTTAAGCATGCAACATGTCATAGGTAACAAAATTGAGTAGATAGTGTATATTAAATAAATCTTTGTGATTAAGTAAAAAATAAATCACAAAAACAGTGGCTGAGGAACATGTCTGCAGGCTCAGCTCTACATCTGGTTGGTTGTTTTTGTTTTTTTCTTTTATACATCAGCAGCAGCCAAATTCACACTTGATAGATATTGCACCAGAAAGACATGTGCAGTGAGAAGGAATATAATCACATTAATGTTTATGCTAAAAAACAGATATGACTTCCATGTGTTACATAAAGTGCCTTTAGAGTTGGTGCAGTTAGAAACAAACAAAAAACCACATTGTTATTTAGATATCATTAGCAAATGCATACAAACAGGAGACAAAACAGACCTGTTTTCCATAGTGCCAAATCACACAGTGCCAGGTTTCACTCAAGATGCCTCCATTGCAAACAGTAAAGAGGAAAGGTTAATAAAAGAATTGCTATACACGGATAATGACAGGGTTAAGCATATTTTCCTAAAATGATTAATGCCAACCTTACCCCCAAATGCTCTATAGTACACGTAAATATTACCAATAATGAGGCAATTTCTTTGCTGAACATGAGATCTGGCATGCTATGTTATGATTCTCCCTTGACTTGTAACTATTCTAATATTTATACAAAAATGCAACATCCAGTCTGCACTTCTGGATACAGAAAAATATTTATGTGCTCAGGGAAAAGAGTTGCTCTCAATATACAGCCTATGTAGAGAAAATTTCTAACATTGCCTTCTCCTACTTTCCTAATGGTTTGGGAAAACAAGGCTCAAAATGTGCTTTGAAAAATGACACTGGCATCAAGTCTGGTATGAAATTAAGAAAAATGCTCATTTTTCTAAGTATATGATATTTAATTGTAATGAAATAAAATCTGAAAACATCTAAATCAATTAAAAAGTAAACATGAGTTGTAATACTATACCTGTAAAATGATTAATTCCATTCATTGTCATTAGAAATTATGTAAAATATTTATTAAGGGCTTTGCCTACAGAGGCACAACATAAATAGAGTAAGTCCAGCTGAAATGTGATCAGAGTTCATGTTAAGCAGTTGGCAGGCTGCTGTGGAGGTGTCGGAAAAGCCACCCACAGGTTGCAGTTCCAACTTCTGGATCCAGGCAGTGGCATGGGCGAGGGGCTTGCTCCGAGAACCAGCGCTGTGCAACTGTCCTGCCACACTCACTCGGAGAATACCGTGAGGCCGATGCAAAAGTGCAAGCAGAGCTTGCTTGAAGGGGGGGGAAAGCTGACGTTTTAATCCACTCCTTCAAATCCTTGAGCGTTCTCAACTGCCATAAGGAGCTTCTCTCGCAAATCTTCAAAAGATTCATAAAGAGGTAAGTCTAGGCGATTAAAGCTGAAATTTAGAAGGAAAAGAATCACTTAATCCATTGGAAAATACACATAAATTTAAAGAAAAAAAGTTACACAATTTGGGGGCCTATATCTTCACCGCGTCCTTTGCGAACTCAACAAATGTGCATGTTCCCTGCAGGCAGCGTCTGAGACCTGCCCTGCCTGTACCAAAGTGAGTTCTCAGAAATAACTCTGTGCCTCCTTCCTTTTCAGAGCGGAAAGTGGGAGTTTGTTAAGGACCCAGCAGAATGCTCCCCTCCATATCTAGTTGACTGAAAACACTTCCTCTTTGTCATAAGGCTGGTCTCCTACGACTCAGCTAAGATGTTCTGAACTTATTGGACAGACTTGCCACCCCCTGGGGGAAAAGAAACAGAAGAATAAACACCCAAAAGAAGGTCTTGAAAAGGTGCTGTAACATCTAACAGATAATTGAAAACAACTGAACGATTGTTTCTTGTGGTTTTTTTTTAAATAAAACTTTATTCCCTAGAATGATTATTTTTATGGAAGGATCACCGTTCTGTACTAATGTTCTAAAAGTTAGTTTTCCTATACAGCACAATTTAAGTTACCTTAAAAAAAGCTGTGTTCTTGATATGCAACAGAGAAAGACAAAGATTCGTACTGAATGCTTTCAACATTTGCAAATTCTATAAATTAGGATTAAAGTCAGCCAGTTTATGACCTCACATTTTTAGCTAATTGTCCAACAATTTATGGCTGTTATAGCCACAGAAAGCTGTGCTACGTGGTTTGTTATGCCAGACTTTCTGTTGTTCATTATACTCACTTACAAGGGTGAGGAAAAAATAAAATCATGGAAAATGAGAAAGGGAGAATGGTGGCGAGAGCAGCCGCTGCCTGCAGCATGCTCCAGGTTGGTGAAGCAATAGCCGAGGTAGAACCGCAGCACCCAGAAGAAAGCAAGCATCAGTCCCGAGTTGTACAAACGCTAGTCTTGCTTTTCTGACTCATGGGTATCCTCCAGTTCCTTAGTTTTCCAGAAGGAAGGAAGAGGCAATAAAGTTCAAAGATGCATAAAAGGAGGCAATGAACAGTATTAGCCTTACAAGGCGAGGCACCATTTTTCCTTCTAGTATATATGCCACTAAGTTCCTTTTATCAGTCTTCTCTTGGACAGTTTATTGACCATCCTATATTTTTCAAAGCCTTCAGACGGATAGAATAGAGGCTCTGTTTTAACATTAATAGAAAAATAACTGAAGCAGAAGCTGTAATTCCTCTTGCTGTTTTTTCCCTGTCTCAGTTTTGGCAGGAACCACACAAGTGCCCCTGCCACTACTCTGCAGTACCCTCGAGGAGGCACTGGCCTTCTGTGACTCTATCCTGACCTGTAATGTCTGCTTGTCATTTCTGGGGAAACTGGGGGGATGGATTATAAAGTCTTCCTAATGTGAAAGGCACTGGAAAACTACTGAGCGTTTGTGCCAGAATGGACTGCAACCCAAACAGGCTCTGAGGACCGCTTGTAAGATCCTGGGCCTCTGCTAGCAGGCACTGAGGACCCCACTCCCAAATCGTGCAGCACGCTTTCGTGCTGTGCTCTGGCTGGGACCGTGCTGCAAGTACCCTGCAGGAGTGGATTCTTCCGTATTTGATATGGGGAAAAGTCTTCTAGAGGAAGCGATTCAAATTACTTCCATTGTGCCAGAGCGTCGGTTGAACGGGCCGCTGCGTAAAGCAATTTGCAGGTAACTACATAGCTTCAACTATGATTGTTAAGATTTGGTATACAGGGGTAGTAAGTCCCTAGAATCTAGTATAAAATAGAGTGGGGGAAAAAACTAGCTCTTCTCTAACACACTTCTAACAAGCAAGCAATTACTAGAAGAGAAGTCCTGAGCTGAAAGGGTTGCTTGAAATACAATGGAATAGCATTAAAAAGTCTTTATCAGAAAGGCTGTGACAGAAGGAGTCTATTTTAGGTTCATTCACCTGCATTTACTGCAGAACACCTACTTTATTAACACATTATTCGTGTGCCCATGAGACAGCAAAACAAGCATCATTCAGAAGCCCTCGGAAGCAATGGCACAGTGCTGAAGTTGAGCCCTGCTGCCTCCTGGAATTTTGCATGTTACGTTCTGCAGCTGTATGACAGCTGGTAACCACTCACTGTTCTTTGCCTTTTAACTACATACCTACACACCCAGACACAGGGGGTAGGTCTCAGAGTATCCCATTTTATGAAGAGCAGTATGATGCAGAGCTAAAATATGTCAGAGAGGCACAGTCATCAGCTTCCCCCCTTCCTGGCAGTGTAACAATACAGAAAAGCTGTGTGTATGATGCTTTTATGACTTACCATGTGTGAGCTCTGGGCAGTTTATCAGGACTTCCCCATTGCTCTATTGTAAACAGCTGAGGACCATTTGAACCTGGTTGAAAATGAGAATCATATGAAACATAAATTGCACCAGTTGAAAAATCTAGCCTACAAAACTCCCTTAATGCAAAGAGGAATGGGGTTATTTGTTTCCAAGTCTGGTTAGCTTGTTAAGTTTATCTAACCACCTTTGCATAGAGTATGTGTACTGCAGAAGAAGTAAGCTCAGACATGACATGAGTATTATTCCTCTCGACAGCTGAAGTTTTCCCTGTGGGAGCTCGGGGAGCATCTACGTAACACCCATGGTGTACAAAACTTTACTCCTTCTCCACGTGCTCCCCCAGTTCTCCACAGTTCTCCAGTGCTCCTGGCATCCAGAGGGAGAATTCTTATTTGGGGGCCAGAGGGTTGGCTATGACTATGCTTCAGGCGGGCCCAGGTTTTCTCGTTGGCATTCAGAAGTGGTCTGTACAGCCCTTCTAGCGGTGAGCACAGTCTGGGGGCCGGTGGAAGGGACTCACCGTAAAGTTCAGCAAATCCATTCATAGGCACGCGTGACGTCCCAGTAACAAACTGCAGTAACCGAATCCGCTTTTCAGCATCCATCAGTAGAACAGCCTGTTGACAAACAGACACAGTCACTGCCTTTTCACTTTCACAGCTGTAGATGGTGCCATTAAAAAAACAAAAACTGGGTAAATGATCAGTATTAGACTCATAGAGATACTGCTCTGAAAGATGTGATACAGGTCACATGCCAGGTGTTCTGGGATTTTCCTGCTGTCACTGGGCCACAGCAACAAGACAGTGCTCTGGCAGCAGCTGGGAGCTACAGCTGGTACTCCCGTGTGAACTGCCTTGCCTTTTGTCGCATCAGGGACCGGTACCTGCCTGGAGGCGTGGGGCGCAGCGGGGGCACTGCAACCGTAACTGTGCCTGAGCTGGGGCATGGAGACCCGGAGATGACAGAAAAGCCTTGCAGCCAGGCAGAGGGACTGCAAAGCTTCACGGAAAATCAGCTCAGGGTCGTGCTACAGCTGGAGCTCAGAGTCAAGCCTCTGGATTGACATGAGTGCATAGCCATCATGTATCCCCCCCGGCCCCACCACAGTCATGAAAATGATTTAAGAAACCCAGAAACAAAGTTCGAGGTGCGTACACAAAGCTGTAAGATTCTGGTATTTTTAAGAAAAAAGACGCTCCTTTGAAAAATCTACTGCTATTATGGGAAAAAGTATTCTACTTCAAGACACTTCAGATAAAACCAAAGATCCAACTTCACTTCCTGGGGTCTAACACAGGCTCTAACGAGCACCGCCCCTGTCATTTCCAGCATTTCTGATGCATTCTTCAGCAGTTTCCAAGAGGAAAAAAGATTTCATAACAGACTGCACAAAACAATACCATAACTTTCACTTTTAGGAATAGAGAAGATAAATGTGGTAAAACAAACAGTATTACCTTCCAGAACCACTGGATAACGGGATGATTTGGGCAATACCCATTTTTGTAGATTGTATGTTGTCTCCAGTCATTAACATCAACATCGCCAAGGCCACACATCAGTAACTGCAGGGGGAAGGAAACAGTTCTGGGGTTAAGTGAAGACGGAACTGCGTTATCCTGTACGCTTCAGCAGAAAAACAAGGTTATACTTTCCCTCTGTTGTCTGTGTGCTCCCTTTTAAACAGCTAAGCAGTGCACATGTAAATGCCAATGGAAAGTGGAGCTTCTCTTCAGGAGAATTCTCAAAGAGTATTTCATTTTACTGGAGAAACACTTATGAAGTACTTACGTGTCGTGTGACAACATCGTTTATGGTATTCTGCTAAAATATGACTGGTATAAGCATAATGGCATTAATTCAGTAAGCTACTTGCATGCTTCATATATGCAAATAACTCAACCACCTCACTGAATAATTAAACTTTTTTGTGCATTTATGTGACCAATAGATTTATGAATTAAGGAGAAAAATCTCATTTTCCACTGTAAGCAAAGCATCTTTATCTGCAAATTCACTTAGGACAAGTAAGTGAGGACTGACGAGCCTAGAGCACAATGCATCATTTTCTGATGAGCATTACTGATCCATTGTCTCTGGAGTTCAATTAAACAAACTCACCTCTAATTCATTTTCATCAAAAATTTTTATCAGATCAATAGGAAGAAGTTCTGTGAATCCCTGAAAGAAAGCAAAGCAAAGTTATAATTCTCATACCACGTAAAATCAAGTTTTTATCTAACAAGATCTTTGGCGCCAGGGAACCTAAGTATATGGCAGAGGGCGAAGAAGGGTTTTGAAAATGAAATATTCATCAACAGTATATTTCATTTATTAATAAAAAAATCACTAAATTATTTCAAGCTCAAATAATTTAAACTTGAAAGAGAATTACCTCCTTCTTCTTGCAAGGGAAAGATTATATACTCTTTATATACCTGATATACAAGGTAAAACTCAAAGCATAAAACATAAGCATTCCAAAACTTATGCGGTTATGCAAAGCTCCCCACTCCCTCAACGCAGACACCGGTGGGTAAGAAATTGGCATGCAAAAAAAGAAAAGGCAGCTAAAGAGCCTTACCTCCAAAAAGGCATTCATTTGTTTCTGAACTCTGTTTACAAACCTCCACTGGATGACCAGGCTGCAGCAGACACAAAAACCACAGAGGCACACTTGTTACGAGACTGCGAACGGCGTGATCAGAGCTTTTAGCAACCCTAAGAGTTTCAGTTTCTCATTTACAACTTCAGCCATCGCCCAACCACGCTCCGCTGGTTCAGGAAACTGAGAAGGTTTTATTAATTGCTCCAATTTATCTTGTGTGACTGACTGAATTGTTGAAAAAAAATCCATGACTGTGAACAAGTTACAGTATGAATATTTTCACTTTAGCACGCAACACAAACTCTACACATACACTTCCATGTTTCATAGCCATGACTTTTCTACATCACCAAGAATTTTTTAAGGTAACGCTGTCAGACGACACGACATTAACCTTTCTGTTCCTACGGAGATTAGCTCAAGGATGAACATGGCAAAAAGGCTTGCCTGCGGATTGAAACAGCCTACAAGTTCATTACTATGCTTCATTTCCGTCCGGATGAGGCTATAATCCAAGACTCCGGAGGGTGTATTTACTGTTAGTGTTGGCTACCTAAGTGCCCAGACATTCTACTCTTCCAGAGCTCTCAGTAATTAACAATTCCCAACGAAGCCTACAAAATTTGAGGCTGGATGTAATTACATGTAACAGCCTGCCTATAAATAAATAAATAAGTGAATAAAACCTGCAATATCAAAGAAAAGGCTTGTAGCACAACTACCTCACAGGTTCTAGTCGAATGTTTCAGAAATCCAATGCTTTCCTGCTAAAAACGTGTTTCAGCATGCTAATTTGCATGAATACAGCAATTATGTTTCCTCCCCTTTGAAGAGGCGCTAATTAAAAATGCCACCAAGTACAGTTGAATTTATTGTTTTACATTCTGATAGGCAGAGAAACCGAGGAAGCTTAAAATTAAACCTAAACAGCACGTTTATGCCAATTTCTGATAGCAACACCGGCACGGAAATTGTGGAGCGGGTCTGCGCAACTAGTGGAGAAGGGCAGCGGGCCGATGGCCGCGCTGCGGCGCGCCTTCCGGCTGCCTGTAGCCTGACTTTGGAGACGTACGGCTCCCGCGTGGGGGCTGCAGTTAATCTTTGTTCTGTTCTTGTTATGCGAACTGAATTTTCAAAGGCGGTGTTACAGCACGGCTACGGTTCATTTGATGGTTACTAGAAAATTCCTAGTGCGATTTCCTCATAATGCTTAAAGAAATAACAGGGATTTTTAATTAGCAGCTATTTAGTCAGTTTAACTATTTTCATTCATTTCTGCAATAAATATTAAATAATAAAATAACGCAAACAAAGCACCAGATTTTCTATTTGACAACGATTCTTCGTTATCTACATGATACCCCATAAGCACTACCTGTGCATGAGAATGCATCATTTGGATGTTACTCTAAGAAACAGAGGGAAAAATAAAATTAAAGTTTTAAACACCTGCGGTTTGGTGCTTGGTTGGTTTTTGTTGTTGGTGGTTTTTTTTTTTTTTTTTTTTAAAGTAAAACAACTGGAATAGTTCAAGCATAATGGAATTCTGGGGAAAAATATATAAAAGATTTTGGGTTGCATTAATCATTTCCAAATGAGAGCATACAAATGACAGCACCCAAGTATTGACTCTAAAGTTATAAAAATACTGAGAGTAGCCATGAAAGAACTATCTAGATGTAAACCTAACAGTTCTGAATTTTCAAAGACCTTTTCTACACTGTATCAAGATGATGGAGAGAAAAAAAAGTTTGTGATGTCTAATATTTTGCATCTGAAAAAGACACACCTGAAAAATTTAAGTGCTGGTAGCGCAAGTAGATTACACACAAAGTAATGAAAAAAAAAATCATAAAAGCAGAAATTTCTTACTGTTCCACCATTACAGCTGGATCACTGTAACACAGCATTGCAAATGAGATTAACAAACAAGTACAAAGTTCTTCTCTCGGAGGAATGCTTAAACGTTTACAGAGCTCCTGGGTTCTGCCCTGAATGAAGACCACAACAGCAAGCAAATACGGACTCGATAAATGATACAGACATCCTATTCTCATCCTTTTTTCTCGCCAGTTTAGCGCTCAGATCTGCAGTCATTCTTGACTTGTATTCTGCGACCTAGCAGTTATCAGGAAAAACTCTAAACCCTAGGGTGGAAGACCATGCTCCTGTGCAGATCTCCAAAACAGAGCTGGTTACCCCAGGCACACAGGCAACAGACAGAAGCAGGCACAGAACTGGGCAAAATTCGTATCTCTACTTTAACTCGGTAAGCGTTGCATCCAAGAGGTGCCATTTCTTTTCACAGAGTAATGCAGGTGTGGATCTCTGTCATTCAGAGCAATCCCATCCCTTCTTGAATGTTCCTCATGCCTACCCATCACGAAAACAGTTTCCTCTTATGTCATATTACTGATCAGACTCCCCTGATTAGTGTAATCCATAGAACAGTAAAGGTTGAAAATGAAACTTTCTAAAGATAAGGGTACAAATAATGTTAATGATAAGATTTTCTTTTAAAAGGATCTCTGGCAATCTATTGTGGTCCAAACTATGGTAATTGCAGTAGGGTAAATTCTACGACAACTGTGCTTTCTTACACTCAGAAAAAATTCCATGAACGTATACATACTCGATGTATTCCCTTTTGTTTTCATTCGTTACCATGATTTCTGACCCATTTGGCTTCAGGTCGACTTGATATGTCTGTATTTCAAAAGAAACAAAACAAAACACAACATGACATTATTTCAGGAAACATTTCTCACAAAATTCACTTGGCTTCAGTAGCATTTCACAAGTAGTATCAGAAAATTATTATGCTGTAATAGCTAAGGAGACATCAAAGCATTCCACATTTAACGATGGCATCATTAGGAACAAATTATTATACGATCACTTAAAAGACTGAATTCTTGATGATACTCATTAGCAAGCGAGCAAACCATTCCAAAGCAAACTTCTAGTCCTGAACGGCAGGTTCATTTGGGTAAAGAAAACACAGATTCCATTTTAGTATGGGTAGAAAAATGCCTTCTAATTTTTAAAAATGCTTGAAACAAAATGATTACTCAAAATCCACAGAGAAACTGTTTCATAAAAAGGTCAAAAAAGCAAAGTAGAAAAACAGATTACAGAAATGGGTAAGCACAAATTTGCTAAGGATGGTGTCACCATGGAGCGTAAGATTGAAACAACCAAATTCATTACAGTTCACAAGAAACTAGAACAAGTCCAAATAATCACAGAATCATTAAGGCTGGAAAAGACCTTTAAGATCATCAAGTCCAACCACCAACCCAACACCCCCATGCCCACTGAACCATGTCCCGAAATGCCACGTCCACACGTTTTTTGAACACCTCCAGTGATGGTGACTCCACCACCTCCCTGGGCAGCCTGTGCCAATGCCTGACCACTCTCTCCGTAAAGAAATTTCTCCTAAAGTACAGAAATTTTTCCTAAATGTCTTTTAAAATATATTTATATGTCACATATATAATGTATGTATATAATGTACTTATTTTTTGAAGAAAGTGATTTATCACTTTTATTTAGTAGGAATTCACAAAATTAATGCTGGCTAGGTACCATGAAAGCTAAAAGTAAACAACGTTGCTACCAAACCGTACGCTCCAGAGCTGCAGCTATGAGGAAGTGTTTTTCTGACTGCAGATCCGGGTGTTTACATACAGCATAGGCACAAGACTGGGTTCACTTCTTGCAAAGCGTATGGGCTCGGGTAGGACAGAAGGGAAGTCAAGAACTTTGTTGCTTGTAAGTTGTCGCTCTGTTCCAGTCAACTTGTCCCATCACTTCAAAAGCACGGTCCCAGTGGAAGTGACCGAGACGTGAGTGAAGAGCCACGTTCAACCAAGCCTTTTTTTAAAGCTGTTACTAATCTTTAATAATCAAATCAGATGTTGTGGTTGCGTAACGGAAAGACAGTAAATTCATTAGCTTATAAATGGAGCTGTGAAAGGAGGAGGCTGAAAGCTCTTTTCAGGACTTGATTAACACTGAATACTTTAACAAGGAGAAAGACAGTACAATAGCTCTATTTGAATAAATATACCTATTACTGTAGAGAAAAAAAATAGATGACTATACTATTAAGGAGAAGTAATTAGTAGGGAACCTACACACCTCTGAAAGACTAGTTCATTTGTTCCGTAAAGAGCAGAGAAGACAGTCCAGAGCTAACAAGGAAAAGGTTCGCTGTCAAAGTTAAACAGGATGAAGCTACAAAGACCCCAGACACAGGCCTGGCACAAACAGAAGACTTCTTGGTGCTTGTTTCTTCCTGCCCACCAGAAGACTGTTTTTAAGAAATGAGAAATAGTATTCCAGAAGCATTAAGAACAGAGGAGAACCACAGACCTCTCCCTTCTCTGCTTTCTGAAGCAAGCTCTCCATCTTTTATGCGTTGAAAATACCTACTGTGTATTTCTTACTGACTTGTGAGAACTACTGAAACCATATTTTTGGTTATTAAGTAAGGAAGGGTAATAAGAAGATAAGATTTATTAGAGGTTTCTTGCTTTTCTCCAACTCCAGAAAAGGTTTTGGTGATAAATGAAGTATAAACAAACATAGAAGCTTCTAGCAATGCAAACATCTCCCTCTTGCATACACAATGTCCTTGTGGAAGCAGTATCATCTCCTACTCAGGTTCGCAAGGGCACTTTTATAAAGTTTCAGTAGTTGGGCAGCAGATGAGGCAAAACAAGTGCCAATGGTGAGTCCAGGTCCCTCGACTTCTAGTAGTCCCCAGAGCTCTGGCAATGGCCAGAGGTACATGCAGAAAAAGCCAGTGCAGTCAGTATCTGCCATAACTTCTGAACTGCTGGAAAGCATCCTGTACGCATTTGGACTGACACGGGGTTTCAACCTCTGGCCAGGTAAATTCCTCCTCACTATAGCATATCCCGCCCTTGTATTACTGAGCTTATTCAGGCTTTTCTTTGATAAAATTTGTCATGCCAATTTTGTATCTCACCAGCACTATAATGGAAGCAGTATTATTTTCTTCTGGAATTAGATGCATGTACTGTAAATTAAACAAAAATCAATCTTGCTACCAGTGCCAGAATTAGCTATTTGAGGTACTAAAGAGTTAGGAGAAGAGCAGAAAGTATCTCCAAGTAAGTTCATTTATGCTTATTACCAACAAATGACCCAGTGCATTACAAAAACTTTTCATCCTGTGGCTTTAATATTCTCCCTAATTCTCCATGTAACCGATAACCTTACGTTGCTTCAGGAAAAAAGTAATAAGCGCTGAGAGGTGGATCAGAAGGTTCTTGACAGTGCACTGTGTGCATATGTTTTGAAATTTTGAGGTCAGCTTTTTAAAAAAGGCACTGTGGTCCACAATACTAGGGGTACTTGGAGCCAAGATATCTAGGTCTAAGAATTAAACAAAGTGGAGACCCTAAAAAAGGTCATAAAAGCCTACAAGCAAATTAATTTAAGAGACACAGGTAGGTATTACTAAGTCCCAATACTGTACAAAACCAGTATGTTTTAGTCACTACATGTGTGCATGCATTACAAAATGGTTCAGCTCTGTAGCTTGTAAATAAATAAATAAATAAATAACTAAAAAACCCCAATGGTAGGCAGGTAAGTTCCAAGCTCATGTAAATAAACTCATGATTTATTTGCCTTTAGGTCCTCAAATTAAATTTAACACATATACGTATGCACAAGACCTTTATCTGCACCATATTTCCATCCGGAAGCTGATACAGATCTCTGAAGTTTGTTTTAATAGGATTCTCTGTAAAGACCGACTGTGAATCGAAGACAAACTGTACCATAAACTGTTGTTATAGCTTCTGCTGATAAAATGAGTTACAACTGTGGCTGATGAGTTATATTGCCACCTTCTCCCTTCTCAATTGTTAAACATTTTTTCATTTGTAACGGAGAAAAGTTATCCACAGATTGTGAACCTTTTTAAAACAGGCGCACTTCCTTTTCTTGTATCATCTGCCTGCATTATATAGAAGATGCCACAAACAAAGCACTTCTTCACTGATTATAATTCTACCACTACTTACTTTGTCCTTTGAGAACATCTTCAACCTCTAAAGCCCCAGAGTATTTTCTAAGATGGACTGTGTAAGACCTTTATTATTCCTCATTGCAAGTATTTTACCCAGCTTCAAGTACTGCTTTTCACAAAGATGTCACATTGCTCACTGACAAGAACATAATTTCCTCCTTCGGCATCCCCAGTCTTAGACGGTTCAGGAGGAGAGAGAGGTTAATATTCATAGTCTGCCTATACTGATCACTAACATTCAACAGTCCTGATCAAGTTCACAACCATGAGATACTGCTCAGTCCTTAATTACTTTTTGGCAATAACCAGTAGTAAGATGGAAATAAGGACTTTTGGGATAACCTTTACATACCTGTCCAAAGTTTTCCTCATCTATGCAAAACATGAGATCCAACTCTGTAGGGTCATTTTCCAGGATCCACTTCAAAGAGTTGTAGTATTCGCTATCCTACAGCGGATTATAATTAAAAAAAGTTTGAAAATGTGAACATTAAACATATAGTTTAACTTTAAATCGAACAAATAAAAACATCTAAAGCTAGAACTCCAAAGGGACTGGAAAGATGAGAACTCATTTATTTGCACAGCTACTGTAAGGCAGGGTAAGATGGATTACTTTATTCGTATGTATTTTTCTTAAATGTTGCATTTTTAGATTCATGTAGCTTTTCTCAATTGACTTGTAATTGCATTATTATACAACACAATAAAGTCACTCTACATATCTATTAGCTAAATATGCCTATAGCACTGTGAAATAATTGGTTAGAAAATGTCTTCTTGATAAAACTGTCCACTCTTTTCAACACAGTTTATGTACCACTTCATTACATCAATAATATATTATACAATAACTGATTGCATTGTTATTATTAAAAGCCTTGAAGTTTGCTGAAAAAAGGACCCCTCTAATTTCCTAGAAGGGTTGTACCTTCATCATGTATTGGGTTCATAATTAAAGATTGACCCAAGGAAAAAAGGGGGAAAAAAAAGTATGTGTAGCTATCATTAAATATTTCCAAGCAAGAGAGCCAAAAAAATTAATTTCAAAATAAAGTTAAACCATTATTTACTCATGTATGCTTCAAGAGAAGAATGACCTGCTGAAATTTGGGGACTATGAGATAGTGGGAGCGGGGTGGTGGTGGGGGATTAAGCAGTTGAACCAGTGTTTATGTCAGTAACTGAAAATCTGTAAAACTAAAACACCAAAATATTAAACTGCGTTTTATTCTTACACCGAGTAGACTTTTGACAAGAACAAGGACAGCTGTTGCAGAGCTAAGAATAAGAGAAAAAGGTTTCCCAACTACCTGTAGGAATATAAGAGCCTGAACTTCCTTTTAAGGTCCTTCTAGATTAGGTATCTCATGAGCTTGGTTTTAAGCTTGTCCTAGAGCTCAAACCAGCTCATCTCTTGTAATTTTGCCTCTGTGCTGGGCTTGTAAGTCAACTGACTTTGCTGTTGAAGACAGTCTTAGGGAAGTGCCGGATGTGAGAGGCCAGGCTCACAACCAAGTCCTGCGCCACAGAGGCAGTCCGGAGCAGTCTTACCCAGATAAACTGTATAATGGGTAACAGAGTAAGATGTTAGAAAGGCGAAACGGCTCCAAGGTGCTTCGAAGTCCATGGCAGTGAAAAAACTGGACAGACCTCAAAAGGTTAGAAAGACAAAAACAAGCATCATCTTGCTAACTTAATGGAAACCGTTTCTATTTAGCCATTGTACATATCTGAAATGTACTGTGTTTCAATACTGGTACGCTACGCATCTAGATTGGGCATTGGCAGGATCCCATTTACTGTTGTCCTTCATCTTACCATACAAAGTTAGAGATTACTAACTTGTAAAACAATTCGGTTTTCTCCCAGGGAGTGACAAACACAGAAGTACTTGATTGCAAATTAATGTTGAAGGTGTGAAAGTAAAGGAAGTGCAGGGAACAAATCCAAAATGGATGCAAGGGCATAAGTCGTGCTGCATTCATTAAGTATATTTTGGAGAAAACTGTGTATCATCTGGCAACCCTTTCGCCTTCCAGCACCGCGGGCAACTTCCCGTGTCGCCGGGTCAGAACTAAGCCCTTGTATCCCCCTCTTCCTGCTCCGCAGTGTGACACGGAAGCCGAAGGGCTTGGTGGTGGTGCGCCTTGTAACAGGGAGAAAGCTGACCCAGTGGAAAATCTGAAGGTATAATCACACATCTTACGTTGCCTGTCTTACTGCCCTACTCATGTCGCTTCTCCCTTGTCCCTCTCACCGCTGTTAGTGCGCTGGTACTGAAACAGCTGTCCAGGGAGACTTTGCTTTGTTATAAAAGTACATACATATTTCTTTCTAAAGTTGTTGCAGCTGTGACCTTGTGTCTTCCACCTTGCAGTTTACTGGAATTGTTAGCTCTTACAAATTTCCCAAGAGGAAAAAAATCACATAATTGCTAATGCCATATGGTTTAAATGTTATCTTACCACTGACTCCATGTCTTTCAGAGTTATTGGTTTCCCCAGCATCATCTTGTAAAAAGGTCTGATGAAGAAGCCTACAAGAGAGGGAAGAGTGTTATCTCCACTGTTCTGCGTTTTCACCTTACATAAGATACGACCGCTCAAGGATAATATGCCATGATATTTCCTAGTGATATTTCCAGCAAGAAAGAAATCTCCTGAAAGTAACAGTGCTCAAGCAACTGCTCCAGTTAACACAGCAGGCTAATTTTTTATTTAGGCACAGAGTCCAACCTTTTAATTATAAGAATTACGCCATTATCATAGAATCATAGAGTGGTTTGGGTTGGAAGGGACCTTACAGATCATCTAGTTCCACCCACCCCACCATGGGCAGGGAGAAGTTCCACTAGACCAGGCTGCTCAGAGCCCCGTCCAATCTGGCCCTGAACACTCCCAGGGATGGGGCATCCACAGCCTCTCCGGGCAACCTATGCCAGTGCCACCACCTTCACAGTGACGAAGGGTGGCATACCATACGCCATTAAACACCGTAACATTAATGGTACAGACACGGAGAAGAGGGGGAACTGAGCTCAAGGGGAGTCTTCTCTTAAAAGAGACACTAGAAAAACAGGACATGAGCTTCCTCTTCTAGTGTGCTGCACTATTGCTAAATAAAATATACTCAGTTTATAATGTTTGCTTGCTTGCTTATTGTGGGATTTCAAAATTTGGCAGAAATAATATTTTCTTATTAAGTCATCCAGTAATAATTTAGCAGATCAAAATATATTGCAGCTGACACCCACACAACTGCTCTGGCTGCAGGTTTGCATGGAAATGGCTGATATAAATTTAGTGATTTTCCCTTAGGGATAGTGATTACCTAGCAATGCTGATTCTGTGGTTTTAACACAAGTGGAGAAAAAAGGCAGAACTTTATATGAAACATATTATTGAGTAAGAGACTATCATTTTTGAGTCACCATTCACAGGAGGATTGCGATTTCCAACAGTTCCAAGTTCCATTACTTTCTCTCAGACTTTGTCTCCTGAAACGCTACACTCTAAAGCATATGAATTATTGAAGTCATTTAATTTAATAAAAATCCAGTAACAGTAGCATAGCCATACAGTGTAATGACTCACCATCCAATAGCTTCCCATGATATACTGCCAGACCAGCAACCCGACCAATAAATGTGAAATACGATAGATGATCTTCGTTACAAAGACCTGAATTAGGATTAATCTGAAGTGTATAGTTGTCCCTTTTTTGGGGAAAGAAAAAAGATATCTAAATAACCAAGTCTTTAAATAACCAGATATTCAGATATGTTAATAAATAATTTGAACCTAGGGCCATTTCCTGTTCAATTTTGTAATCATGTAATTTATCCCTGTGCTCCTTAACAGAAGCACCTGACAGTCTGTGGGTAGGCTGACCTAATCAACACTGTCCTGCTACGAGCATAGTGATTATTGGACAAAGGTAGATAAAACTCCTGCTTGTGGGGTAACAGTACTCCACCTGTGGCAAGTGCAAGAGGGCTGTGCTAACCTCTTCAAAGGATAAAAGCCTGGCACCACTGAAAACAGTAAAATTTTGCCATCAGCTTCAGTGGAATAAGAATTTCAGTGAAACTGTCCCATCTGCCAGGCTTGATTATTCACTCTTTTCAGCCAAATTTCAGGGCTTAGAATTTCAGGTTTCTCTGTTGCAGTAGTTGCTTTTAGTTCTTGAAATAGCTGAAGGTACTGAAGAGGAATTAAGTATAGGCCCATGGTCAAACTTCCTAGGATAAAGAACGTTTTCTTACTAGCATCTCAAACCACACATACTAGAGAACATCCCTGAAATACGCTTAACCTCCAGGATACTGGAAAAAGCTGTCAAAGGACTAAGATCTTTTAACTGGGTAATGAAGCATTAAGACCCGTGTGAGAGTGTGTGTCACAATAAGACATTAGTGTAAAAGCAGTAGTTTTAATTTGCAGTATATTCCTAATCTGTGAAGAAAGATACGGGGTTTTAAAGCAGATTCTTTTCTTATTTCTTAAAATAACTAGTTAGATTTCTGAACCTAAAACGTAATAACATTATATTTAAAATATCCACAGCGACCTACATCCTGTAAGCGGAAATATTTCAAAACAAATGTTTATCCAGCAAACTCTATTAACAACACACAGGCATTCTGTGCTACTGTTGTTTCCCTCCAACAGCAGGGACTGTCTCTGACACTCAGAACGTGCCTTTTCCGAGACCCAAATGTGAGAAAACTCTCATCATGCAGTCTCTGTTCATCTACTTTACACTCTATTCAACACTTATTAGAGAAAGGAGTGAGCTTTATACTGACATAAAAACATCCAATCTACTGCTGCAATTAAGAAATCCATCCTCACTGTAGCTAAGCACACAACGTGGAATTGCATACAGCACAGTAAAACAAACATACCTTAAGCAAGAGATCTGCGCTCTCATTTACTCTAGTGGATTTCTCAAAGATTTTAAAATTGGACAAAAGTGTAACTACTGAAACATAAACGAGAAGCTATTTTATGAGCTATTTATAAAGGAGCACTACAATTCTGGATGGCAGGTGTTTTACAATGTAATGGGTGGGCATAGAAAGAGTCTTGTCTAACATCCTTCCTTTCACTATTACTAGCCTCAAAAATTGCAGTTTTGCTGCAAGCAAGGCAACACTGAATATTGTCTTAATAATGAAAATTTTTATGGTATTTCAATGAAAATTTGAAAGGTTCTCTGAAAAGCAAGTAAGAAATGATAGTACAGAAGCGAGATTTGACTGATAAGAATGCACACTCATGCACCAGGAAGGACCATCTAACTGCATTCCAGCGTAACCTTGCCTCTTATGCAAAATCTAACGCATATGCCTTATGAATGGAAATATTTTCATGCACACTTACGTTGCTGAATATTCAAAGAGACCATAATAAGGGTTAAACATCTCCTTGGACAAGAGAAAAAACCATTCTCTGGCCACACCTCCATAGTCAAGTCCTTTTTCTGACTCAAATTCAATCCAGAGCCTGGCTTTTAGTACATCAGGTCTCTTCACAGACATGATTCTTCTGTAGGACTCCTCAAAAATATTATTTCTGTGTAGCTTCATCTCAAATCTGTTCGGTATATCAGCCTGTGTGAAAGGAAATTATATTATACTTGTTAGTCTCAATATATAAGTCTTCACGCAAATTACCGACCAGTGGTAACAACAAAGTGACACGTTAGACATCTGATGTATAAAGTTCCCCTTATTTTTTTTTTTCCAGTGCTCTCTAAGTCTGCAGGTTGATAGCATATGGTGAACTACGTAAGATCCAGTATAGTGGTTCAGAGATTTCTACGATATTTGACAAAACAATGAAAACAGCAAGAACAGTAACAAACAAAAAGGTAAGAAAATGATTGCTATTATTAGGCTCTATTTTAAGGGCATTTTAGCTTAAAATGGTAACAAATGCATAAGATTTATGCAACCGCTTTACTCACATATCTGTAAAGGCCAGAAGAGTTTCGCAACAAGAACAACTACAGTACCATACACACAACAGAACTGAATTGCAAAGGTGTAAATCAAAGAGGATCGGGCTGTCAAAATGTTTTAGAAGTTCTGTCTAAATAGGAGGGAGCTAACACCCATTATGATTTAGGGAGCTAAATTCAAAAGAGACAGAAGAGAACAGAGTCAAGAATTTGTAGAAAGACGACTGGATGAGCAGATAATCATGACCATTACAGCCACGTATAGTTTTCCTGATAAAACTGACTTCAAACAACTGCTTCAGAAGGTTTGCTTTCTCCTGACAACTGAAGTACTTATGGTGTGCAATCACTGGTCAAACTCGAGGTGAAAATTCAAAGAGCTAACAATAAACAGGTAAAGACATTGGCAAGTCCCTCTTCAAATGACAGCTGCTGTTGCCAAGGCTGATTACTGTTAATTATGAGTCAATAGCACATGCAAGCTAATACTGACTGCTCTCTTACATTAAAAATGTTACTGAAAAAACTTTTTTTCACAGAACAAGAACACTAGATGCTTGTGCCAGATCCAGCACAACTGTGGGCTCTGCTCTACCACCTTGCTCCAGTTCTGCCCTTCCACTGTTCAAGATGAAGGAGAAGTATTAATCCTCAAGCCTACTTTCAACCTAAAGGCTTGTAAACGAACATACCAATTAGTCTCAGTTGCAATGGGAAATAGTGAATCATTGCTACTTCCTTGCTGCCTCATCACTTTGATTTGCATTCATACAGAAAATGTGAGTCTTAAAGATTTATAAATGTTTTTGTTGAGAAATCAATCAAATTCAAACTTTTCTTAATTTTTTTGGTTCCTACTTCGGCCCTTTAGGAGTAGCACAATCAGGAAAAACCAGCAAGTGTGTTATAGCAAGATACACCAGCATTCTGTATCTATGCTTGGGACAGTCTGTTGTTTCTCCCAGACGCAGCGTAATTGATTCCAACACACAGCAGCATGTTTCTACTCACTGGTTTCTTCAACTTCTTCCGGAAATAGTCATATTTCTGTTTGAACTCCCTGGAATACGGAACTGCCTATCAGAGAGAGAATCACAAACACAGATTATTCCAGCTATTAGCAGTTTGATGTTCCAACATTACTTAAGCAAAAAAGAAATTTAAAGACATGCTATCTACATATGTATGCCATAGGCTCATCTAATATAAACCACCATGCATGAAGTACAACAGCCAAAATTTTCCCATTTCTTAGTGTGTAATCTGAGTTAAAAGGTATGAAAACTTTAGCTGAAACAGAAAAAATGGGTTGACTTACCCTCATTTTTTTCTTCTTTTAGGAACAGAAAAGAGCAAAAACAATTTTTAATATGTACCAAAAAAAAAAAAAAAAGAATGTATTGCTGCCATCCATGTGTCTCATTAGGAAATAACGAGCATGCCGTATGATACTGAATTTTAAAAATGGCTAGTGTTACCACAAAATATGGATTTGCACAGCTGAAAGTGCCAAGCATTGTTAGGTGCTACTCAGAAGACACAAAAATTCAAGTAAGTTTGAAAAAGAACCTAAGAACAAGTTAAGGAGCTCCAGTAAAGCTATGACACTAACAACGAACACTGCTTGCCCACCAAAAAGTGCAGGACACAATGTATACCTACACAGAAGAGTTAACTAGGCAGGACAATGTCCGTGGCTAGAAATCCTCTTTTCAGCCCCATGGGAATGCATCTGATTCTTAATAGATATCAAACTATCATCAAAGCATACCAAAACTATTTTGTAAATTACTTATAATGAAAATATACACCTTCATAATGTCTTTAATCCAGAATCTGAAAGAATTTTGTAAACAAATTGACATTCTTGTGAACCAAGTACAAGTCGCTGTCTAATAGTTATCTGAATACTCACTCAATGCAGCTGCCTATGAGTTAGACCACATTTTTAAGTAATATCAGCATAACAGAACAATTTTAGAATTTTTTTAAAAAAAAGGCAGCCTGAAGGTTGGTAGAATTACATTAATCAGCAGAGCCGGGAATTGGTGTAAACACCCCTTAACAAATGGCACCAGCCTCTGAAATATTTCTGTGGATTTCCAGATACTTGAAAGCCTCTCGGGATGATTCCCTGTCCTGCTAACATACCGTACGGGTAAGCAAGGACCTGACACTAAGCTAGAAGATTGCCACGTTGGATGTTAATCCATAGGCCACTCGCTGACTATCAGTAAGATGACGGAGTCAGTAGATGACTGCGTTCTTTTCTGCTACCCGCTTGTCGTCATCACGCTCCTTTGCTTTTGCACCAGATGGGAAATGCATACAAGCGTCCAAAAAGGCCAAGCCTGTTAAGGCACCAAGTAGTACCAGACACAAATGCACTGAGGTGTGTCAGCCCTCAAGCAGCAGTACAGGTAAGAGCCATCCATACTCCTGACTGCCAGTTCTGTGACTGCAACCGACAGTATTCAGCCTTCAGACGAAATGGCTGTAAAACAAAGTCGTGGATTAAACTAATGAACTGGAATAGGCTAGAAAAGTGGTATTAGGGCAGGTACAGGTCTGGCTCTAACAAATAACTGCTATGTATTTAAGTAAGACTCATTAATTCTCTGTAGGTTTTTTGACGATTAATTTATTGAGAATTAAGAATCCTTAATTCTCTGTTTTTTGACACTATATGGAAAATCAATTTAATCAGGGTTTGGAAAGAGCCTTGGAAAAAAGGGAAAAATGAAGAAAAAAAAAAAAAAGGCCCCCTGTCCTTGCTCATAATATTTTCCAACTACACCCTTACTTTCCTTTGCCCTACTGTTCCTTCGAGATTAAAGAGTGGACCTAGTAAAACAACTAGCTACACAAATGATGCATGATTTCTTGGGAGCAAAAGAATGATTTTGAATTCCACAGGACTGCAAAAGTTATATTCTCTGTTCCCTGACGGCTGAATCACAAAATTGCAAAGCTCTGGTTCAAGTTCAGTTTCTGGGTGAGGACCGGGATTTTGGGGGAGGGAAGGTATAGGCTGGTCCTGAAGTAGATTCATGACTGGATGTAGGTGAGCGCAGGAGGTGGAAGTATTTCTATATGAGTTTTCTCTTGTGGATGATGATATGTGAAAAATTAAAAAACAAACAAACAAAAAAACCACCCCGAACTAAAGCATTTTACTCTGATGATAATATGCCTTTACTACAGCCATTAAATAATCTTTCAGCATGCTTCCATTGTCTAAATGCAATGTGAAATGCAATTTAAGCAGTTTTTTGTTTTCATCATGGCACCAAAAATACTATTAAAAGCATTAAGATGAATCCTTAATGTTTATATGGCTGTAAACCAGATTTGATCTTGCTTTCTCTTTAAAAAAACATTCAGTCAAATGATTATTATTAATCTTATTAATAAACAAGAGCAACTGGATTTCCACCATGCAGTAGTTAATCTGCCGTGTCCTGATACCCTTAAAAATCCTGAGGATTTACCCAAAATAAAAAAGGTATTCTTGGCACCTGGAAACATCCTAGGGTTGGAAGTCTGATCACTCAGAAAACCATAGAATGGCATAAACCAGCATAAAAATGTCAAAGAATCACTCCATATATTTGATGTTTTGAAAATTTGATATTAAAGTAAAAGCATGTATTTATTTTTTCTATGGCCGATATTCTGAAATCTCTTAGTTTATCTGCAGTAAGCTTCATGTCTCTTAAAACTGACAGACCCCATTTTTATCTTTTTTACACTCTGAATCCATATAGTCACAACTCTCTCATATCAAGTGGAAAGAGCTTTTCATCACCCAGAAATCAAAAAATAAATAGCATAGTGCCTCAGCTCAGTAAAATTCCACTGTCAGTAATGACCCAGATAACGGGTAAATATGAACATTTCTCCTATAAACCTTACAATCTAGGATTCAGCACAGAGAACTTGGTCTGAATTTCTCAAGATCTTCTGACTTACGATTCGGAGCGGACGTGTGCCCTTCATATAGCTTAGTATAGAAACATACTACTCTAACACAATGGAGGAATAAAAGATAAGATGCAAAGGTTTAATATTGTTTGTTCCATACGAAGTAATTTATAATATCAGCAAGTGTGGAGAAAGAAAACACCTGAAGATATTTTACATTTACATTACTTTAGATGCAATTTATTTTAATTCACATTTTTCCCCCCAATTCATCTGTTTGGATGTCAAAAGTAAGCTAAGGATACCACTCTACTACTTTTGTCCTGGAACTTCATCATCACAATAAGCAGCAAATACAACAACAAAAACCGTGTTGAAATCTTAAATTTTTTATTTTTCAGCCAGGGTTTGCATCCGTAATGGATCTGTTTCAGAAACCACTTTCATCATCATAACTTAGTGCAGAAAGCTTTGGGTTGCAGGAAGAGGAGAATGGAACAAATGAGAAATGATGGGTTTCCATGTGTTTCAGAGCATGAAACACCATTCAGACTACATAGCTAAGCACCTTTCGAACAGATGTAGCTTCACTCAGAAATAACACAACAATACAAAAGATTAAAACCAGCCAAACAAGAGTCTCTGTCCTGC